TCTCTACCTGTTCTAGATTAAAATCTACCATTTTGAAAATAACAATGGTCAAATATCAAATGTAATGGCAAACCAATCTAAAAATAATTTGATTTGTTTGTGAATAAGAGAAAAAAACTGCTTTAAATTTAAACCTGTGCTCTCACTGTTTGCTTTTCAAATCATTGCAGGTGTAAACTGAAAACTATTACGCCGTGAAAAAACACCACATTATAGATAATATACAATAAAAATCCCAAAGATGGAGTCAAGCAGATCCTGATCAGTATGTAACTGCATCTGATGTTATTGATCTATGTTTCTAGAATCAGAAAGGATTGGAAGTGAGAAATAAAAACATTTACCTTTCATACTAACACAGATGCTTGATGATGTTTCAAATCCTAAATCATTGTTGGCCACACAGTAAAATTCTCTATCCCCAGTGACACGGAAAGTGGCATTTTGTTTTTCAGACACTTTAAAGCCATTCCTGAACCAGGTGAATGTGGGTGGAGGTTTGGCTCTGCTGGAGCAGCTCAGCTCCACCCAGCTACCTGCTGACACCAAACCTGATGGACTGATGGATGCTGAGGTGTTTCTAGGAGCATCTGAGGAAAATGAGACACATGAACTTTATTGATCAGAACCAGCTGAACCATGACCTGCTGACAGGATCACTTACATGAAACACTGAGAGTCACTTCTGTCTCTGCTGTCTTGTTTTCTCCAATCACAGGATATCTGGCAGAACATCTGATGTTGTATCCATCATGTGTGTCTGACAGAGTGATGTTCTTCTGGATTTTAGTTGTAAAGGTTCCATCCCTGTTTTCTCTGTGTGTCTGAGAGAGTCTTGTTGGAGATTCCAGGTGAGTTCAGGAGGTGAGTTTGGACAGGGAGTGAAAGCTGAGCAGGTTACAGTGACAGACTGATGCTCCTTCAGGTCAGAGGTCACATTAATGCTGGGACTCCAAGGAGAATCTGGGGTTTCACATCAGATACACATTTTAATAAACAAAGCAGACTTACAGTGCCCAAAAATGCCACTGACTGATGAATTAAGGATAAAACTTGTCAAATCTTCTTGCAAAAGCATATTGTGACAGAAGGTTATTAAAATTACAATTTAAAAAGATTGAATATGTTTGTAGTATGAAAACTTAACAATATAACCAGAACAACATAATATCTTTATGTTATGAAAATGTTCTTACCTTTAACTGTTATGTGAAGAGGATCAGCACAAGCTGTTGCCTTATAGGCACCGTTCTCAACTCTGAAGAAGTATTTGTCTGTATGACTTGTTGTTAGATTAGGAAACAGAGTGGTGCAGTTTTTCTCTTTCAGGTTTCCAGTTATTTCCAGTGAATAGTTATTAACTGACCCACTGCTGTTGAAAATAACAATGTTTGGATAATTCCCAAAACTTAGACCACCTTTCATCCAAACTCCATAGATGGTTTTACTGCTGTTATATGTAGGATGTTCTATTTCATAGGTACATGGGATTTGCAAACAAGATCCAGTCAGAGCTTCCACGTTATTTGGTGTAATGATGTTGAGGGAAGGTGTTAAACCACCACAGTAATTAGTCAAAGCACCTGCAAACCAGATCAATAATGAACATAAAGAGCAAAGTCTGCCTGCAGAGAAAGTTTATGATCCACAAAGTCCAGTTCAGCTGTACCATCTGTCATGTGGAGTCTACAGATAACATCATAATCTTATGTTTTACACTTGAAGTGATTTATCTGACCTCTACCAATAAAAGGAAGTGAACAAACATCTCACCTGGAAGAAAGAATACACTCAGTAGCATGTTGACTGTCAGCATGTTCTCAGTCAGAGTCTGATAGACCTTCATCTGTCAAACTGGTGAAGGTTTTAGAAACAGCAACATTTTAATTTTCTCCTCAATGCCATTTTTAAATAAAACTTGCATCGTGTTTGGCAGGGAATTAAAACAGATCTATTATACACTAGAAAGTAGACAGGAACATACACTTCACACTATTTTAGAAGACAATCACATTCAACCATAAACACATGTATATTTTTATATGTAAGTTCCATATAGAACAGAGTAAAAATAAGGACACTAAATTAATATATTTTAATGGCAAGAAGTTAGTTTTCTGTTTTAAAAGTTGCAAAATATGTAAACTTTATAAATTGCCCTTACCCAGTCAATGAACAATTGGATTAAAAATTGCTCCAAATCAAGAAAAGTGTAACTTTCAGCCACTGAACAAAGATCTTAAAAGCATCTGCTCTAGCTGATGGTTGAAAGCCTGTATCTCTGCTCATTCTTCCTCTTTTGTACAAGAGGATGTTGGGTACAGGATTTGTTGTAAGGTGTGGTTTACTAATTATGTCCAAAAACTACCTCACTGATGTCCACTATCAGGACATCAGTGAGGTAGTTTTAACTTGTAGATGAGAAATTGGTTGGGGATTTTATGAAAAGGAGTAGATTTCCTTTAGTTTTCAAAGTTTAATTATTTATAATGTTAATTAAGAAATTATGATGAATTTATAAAGAAATTAAGAAATACATAATTTTTTTACAATAATTTACATAATTGACATTTTATTTCGGTTGTTTTTCTTTATTATGTAGCACCATAATACAATGACAATCCTGAAAAAATAAGATTTTAATGATTTGTCAATAAACAGGCAATGTTGATTTGCTGCTGAAAAATAACCACTACTAATAAAAATATTGATGGTCCTGCAGCTGAGAAACACTATCAACACCATATAGATACTCCTTTCAGCCGATAAAAATATTGGGAATCTGAGGAGAATCTGGGTTTTAACATTAAACCAACAGAATGAAAAGGAATGTATGTAAAATGCACTGAAAGAAACCACAACAGTTCTCAGTTGGTTCAAACAGGAATATGTACTCTTTGGCGCTTTTGTTTTTTAACAATAATTGATTAAAAGTTTGTCATCGAACCATCTATTGTCCCGGAGACAACTCTTTGACCTGAGCGTACACCGTCTCCTGTTGATCGCTGTTCTGCACTGAAGAAGAGGAATCTTCAGGCGTCTTTTTGATTATGTTAATTTCCCCGTAATTAACTTCCCCTTCTGTTTGGTTGGCTTCTGACATCTGAGCATCCGCCTCGATGCCTGTTTGACTCTGTGGAAAATAATGAAATATGTGTCATTTATGCTGATGTGGTGACATACCTGGCAGCACATTGCATTGCTGCAGGCGGAAGATGAACATTTCCTCTCCTGACTCTTTTGTAGACTTGAATGTTTGGCCTTAAAGCACCTGGAAGACATTAGATTGCGGAAGATTTCTACTGTGTTTCAGCTGATAGCACAAAGACCCAAAAGAGTCAAGATTTTATGTGAAGCAAACATTAGAAGATTAACATCAGTTTGAGCACATCAGATTAAATCCTGGTCAAGTTAAACAACAATTGAAAGACATACAAGAGGTAATTTCAGGTATAAACAAAGTGGATATCAAAAGTTTTAAGTGCAATAAAAAGTTCATTTTTCCTCATGGTGTTAATTTGACACCAGTTTGGTTATACATTTGTAATATTAGAAATAATTTGTCTAGATAATCAACACAATCACCATGGTAACACAGAAAGTGAGACAAGTCCTCTGTCGCTAAGTGCTTTCCACAAATTGTCATTCTTTACATTTAAAAGACGGTGCTTTGATTTTGATTGAATTATCTCTTGGAATTGGCATTTTCTTTTGCTCAAAAACATGACGCATGAAATGCAATTATTGCAAAAATCAATTTCAGTGACGGTGAAGTGGCTTTCTTATCAGTTTAGTTGTGAAGTAAAAACATTTCCTGGCAACAAATGCAGACAGTGCTGAGACTAGAAGGTGAAATCATAGAGGCTGTTATTGTGATGTTAGTCCAATAGGCTGCAGTGTTTCACAGCTTTTAGATGGGTTTCATTCTTCCTGACATTACTCATTTGTGTATACTTCATCTTTTCTCCTATTTGTTTAATATTCTGGGATGTTCTTTAAATTTTTATGAATATAAATACTTATCTAAAGGCCGATGTTGCTTGGATCAAACTTTCAGCATAAACAACACAACAAGTAAAAGCAGTCCAACATCAATAGCCATATTAGACAGTTTACTGTCAAATTTATATTTCTATATGACAAATGCTGTTAACTATTTCAGTTCATATTTGTTGATTCTTTGTCCTTTTTCTCTCAGAGTTTCTTTTCACGTCATCACATCTTGCCATAATCCGCTTCATTTTTCTCTGAGCATTATTGTTATTCTTTTACATTTGGTGTTTTAGTTTGTTGCTGTGTTCTATTCGGTGTTCTTTACTTCTTGATGTGGAGTTTTTTTTTTTTTTTTGAGTGTCTCGTTGGGTTAATTATCGGCAGGAACACTCATCAATTAAGCACCAATGACTCCTTTACTCAGAATCCTTTTTATTTATTGTTTCAAGGAATCTTTACAGAACGTTATAAAGCTAATGAATTACATCTTAGCGGCAAATAAAAAATAAAATAAAAAACACCAAAAATGCAAAAAGGGAAGGGAAGAACACATACAGCAAGAACTATGCACAACAAATTCTGAAACCTGTCACGGACCAATGAATAAAGCTTTACTTCCTGTTGCACAAGCATACTGAACGTCATTCTACATGGATTACATCAACACCTTTATGAAAGCGTGATGAAGAAAACTTCCTGTGTCCACACCTGTTAGCTATTGCTGTAACAGCAACTATACTTCGTACAACAGCCTATACCAAAATTTCCATCCAGGGAAATATGAGAGTTAAAAACCTTAGACAAAAAGTAAAGCTTTTCAACCTCACATTATGAATTATGTCACATTTTTGCCTTTTTCTGACAGCAAAAACATCTAGTGCAATTGTTAAAGATCCGTTAAAACACTTCTATTCACACCCGGACATGTTACATTCAGCAGTTCTGCTTCACTAGTACAGCCTCTTTATTTTGTAACATTTTTAGATCTCTTTACTCCATTATGGGATTAACAAATAAATCCTCTCTCTGTCAGAGGCCTTGGCATCTTCCTGGTCTCCTTGTGGCTCATGATACTGTAGTCACCATCACATTGTTGACATAGGTTGGCTCTTCTGGTTCCTGTGGACAGAAAAAACAAACTTGTGTTTTGCTTTCCTGCAGTAGCTTTATTTGAGTTCAAACTGTTTCAGATGAAATAAAGTTTGGTCTCTTTATTTTCAGTCTCATTGGATCCCCAACTAAACGCACAAAGTACAGTATTTCTCCTTTATGGGGGGGTAAACTGTAGCACTGTGTTAATCGTCTGAAATGTGGTTGTCAGTTCAATTCAAGCTTCCTTTCATCATATGTTGAAGTGTATTTGGGTAAAATTGAGCCCTAAGTTACCTAATGATCCTGTGCATCAGTGTGTGGATGTGTTTGAGGGAATGAAACTCACTGTAGCCTCGAAGTATTTTAAGTATTATATCTAAGTTGATTATTTATTTAACAAACTGCATCAGCTGCTGATTAAGAATTTTGACTTTAGTCATTTCTAAAATCTTTTGACATGAAATAAAAGTGTTTATATATATTTTAGATGATGCCTGAACAATTTTTTGTTTTTGTGTGTGTGTTAGGATGCAAAGAATAAACACTGTTTACCTTCTTTGGTTTGTTGTAGAATCTGAACCAGCTGAAAGAAAAATACATTATTTAAACACCAACATCTAACAGCAGCTGCAAATTATGAACTCACAGAAAAGCATCTCACCACTCAAAGATGATGACGCCAGTGCAGAGCAATACAATCCCCAGGATTTTCAACACATTAAGGATCTGGAATTCAGACGCTTGATCATCTGTAACAAGAAAGCCAATGAAGTAAATCTTCATCATTATTTATTACTGCAAAAAAAATCTAATTGAATGTGTTGATATTTGAAATGTGGTTTGTAAACCAATTTCTGAACTAATTAGATAAGACTGTTGAATATTGATGAAATTTTCAAAGGCATGTTTTTTCACAATATGTTAAATCTGAAACACAAAACAAATGGAATCATCCTAAAAGATAAAAAACATGACCAGATGAGTGCAAGTTAATGTATTACCTTCAACAGCAACAAGAATCACAGGTGATTTTTGTTGACCCAGATCATTTGAAGCTACACAGTAATACTCTCCTCCCTCAGTAACATTGAAACTGTAAATCTGCCCCACAGACACATTAATGTCTCCATGTTCACTGATCCTGAACCAGGTGAATGTGGGTGGAGGTTTGGCTCTGCTGGAGCAGCTCAGCTCCACCCAGCTACCTGCTGACACCAAACCTGATGGACTGATGGATGCTGAGGTGTCTTTAGGAGCATCTGAGGAAAATGAGACACATGAACTTTATTGATCAGAAACTGCTGAACCATGACCTGCTGACAGGATCACTTACATGAAACACTGAGAGTCACTTCTGTCTCTGCTGTCTTGATTCCTCCAATCACAGAATATCTGGCAGAACAGCTGATGTTGTATCCATCATGTGTGTCTGACAGAGTGATGATCTCCTGGATTTTAGTTGTAAAGGTTCCATCTCTGTTTTTTTCTGTGTGTCTGAGAGAGTCTTGTTGGAGATTCCAGGTGAGTTCAGGAGGTGAGTTTGGACAGGGAGTGAAAGCTGAGCAGGTTACAGTGACAGACTGATGCTCCTTCAGGTCAGAGGGAACATAAATGCTGGGACTCCAAGGAGAATCTGGGATTTCGCATCAGAAAGATATTTTAATCAGCTAAAACTTCCAGTCTTCAGAAAATGATGAAACGGGTGTTAAAATAAAAAGAAATCCCAAATCATTATTTTCCTCAACTTCAACCAAAAGTTCTTAAAATGGATCCACTAGCATTTATCATGAAGGAAACTGAAGACAAAATATATTTTTAATTCATCATTTTTAATTAACGTAGTTTGTACCAATCATAATTATATTCTTTGTGTAGTAGCCGTACATAAGAGTCTTTCAAAAAAATGAAAATGAACCTTCAAACAACACTAAGCTGAAAAAGCAGGTTCTAACATTAAAATAGAATCCTGAAGAAGACTTAGTCTTATTATTGTACTAAATCTTTAATTACATTAAAGTTATGCCACATTTAAACAAAAAAATTCTTACCTTTAACTTTTATTTGAAGAGGATTAGCACAAGCTGTTGCTCTAAATTGATAGTTTTCAATTCTGAAGAAGTATTTGTCTGCATGTCTTGTTGTTAGATTGGGAAACAGAGTGGTGCAGATCTTCTCTTTCAGGTTTCCAATTATTTCCAGTTGATAGGTGTTTACTGTGCCGCTGCTGTTGAATATAACGACCTTTGGATGCAAATGGATTTGTGTGTCGCCTTTCATCCAAACTGCATAGATACGCCTGCTGCTGTTGTACTTAGTATTTTCTGTGTCATAGGTACATGGGATTTGCAGACAAGACCCAGTCAGAGCTTCCATGGTGTTTGGTGTAGTGATGTTGAAGGCTGGAGTTATACCATAACAGTCTTCAGCCAAAGCACCTGTAAACCAGAATAAAAATAAACATAATCTGAAGCAAAATCTGCCTGTAGAGAAAATTCATAATCCAAAAGACTCCAGTTCAGTGTAATCGTGTTACATTTGAAGCCTTTAAACAAAATCTGTATTTCTGGCTAGAAATTATTCATCTGTTTGCTCCAAACAGAAGTGAACACACATCTCACCAGGAAGAAAGAAGACACTCAGTAGCATGTTGACTGTCAGCATGTTCTCAGTCAGAGCCGCCATCACAGTCGAATCTCTAAAACTGGAGAAGATTTCAGAAACAATTACATGTCTTTTCTTTTTTTGTTTTTTTCAAATAAAGTCTATTTTAGATTAATACTGCCTTTTATAAAGTATAAAATAAGGAAGAACTGACCTTACCTACATTAGAAGTAGAAGTCGACTGGGTACAATTATATACACCACTTATTTATATATATATAAACCAAAGGTCACAGTAATGTAAAGATATTCTTACCAAATCAATATATAGAAATGTGTAAATATCATCTGGGGGAAAAAAATCATGCAGTCTCCTCTGTGCCGATGTTGTGTGAACGTTGGTTTTTTTGCTTCTCTTCTAAAAGAGGAAGTTGGGTAATTTTTGTGTGATTATGTTGCTGAAATAATTTCACATTATAGCAGATTCTCACCGCACTGTAAAAACAATTTAGTTGAGTCAACTTAACTGACTTGCTTTAATTGGTAGCATGTAATTCAATTAAATTGATCCAACTTAATATAGTATGATCAATTAATTCAATTCGTTAAGCTTACGTGTGTTTAAAATGACAAATTTAAGTCAGTCTTACTCAAATCCTTTAGTTTACTTCAAACAAATAAGGAGACTAATAAACAATCTCTTTATTACCAGGACTTTTTGACTCATGTTGTCTTTATTTGAGAATAATTATTAATAAATTGGGTAATGACAGAGAGGGAAGACATGCAGGTTTGATTCTGGCCTGATGACCTTAGCTGGATGTTTTCCTTCTCTTATTTATGAAGTTGGACAAACTATTTTCTTCTTTCAGTGTACATTGTTGTTTTGAGTAAAGTCAAATTTAGAAGTTCCTTTAAGTAAATTAAGATAATTAAAGTTAGTTAGATTTGTAACTTTGAAGTTAATTGGACAAAAAAAAGTAAGTTGTCATCAGTAAAACAAATTATCTAAGTGAGATTAATGTAAATAAATCCACAAAATGAAGTACAGCCAAAAAAACTTTTAAGAGAATATTATATAGAGCATAGAAAATGAGAAGCACTGCAGTTTGTGTTCTGTAACTCCCAATGAGAATAAAAGAACAAGGAAAAAAAGATGGATTTTTTTTTTTTTTTTACAATTGCCTTTATTTGAAACAGGCAGATATATATCAAGAGCTGAAGGCTCCCATGCTTGGCAGAGAAGAACATGTATGATAATAAAGAGATAGTAAAGATTTCCATTACTTCCTTTTGCACTTATTTTTACTGTGAACAATTCTGTGTGCACATATTGTTTTACTACAAAGTAAAACAATATGTGATTTCCACTCAAATATGATTTTAAAAAAAGCAAAGTAAGAAAGAGTTTCTGATACGTAGCTGACCTGACTTCAAATCTGTGTAACTTATGTGTGGTGTCATTTGTCACTAATGACAATAAAAGATATGAAAATATGAAAAGAAACATTATTTAAACTGTGAGGTTATGATTAGAATATCCACCATGAAAACACTTAGGTCAAAATAATTAAAAACAAAACTATATTTTGATGTGATGGACTGGTGACGCGTCCACAGTGTATCCAGACTTCCACCTATTAGACTATGCATAAAGAAAAAAGCTTCTTGAGACACAAACTTGAACTATTGGATAGAAATAATAAATCATCTCTCTGACAGGCTTTGACATCTTCTTGGATTCCTTGTGGCTCATTGTGTTTTAGTCACCATCGCATGGTTTACATAGATTGGTTCTTCTGGTTCCTGTGGACAAATAGAATAAAATTGATATTACAGTAAATATACTTGAGCTCAAACTGATTCATAGGAAATAGAAGCTGGTATCTTTATTTTCAGTCTCACTGGATTCCCAACTAAAAGTACAAAATACAAAATTTATCCTTTAATGAGATAGTAAGTTGTACCATCTCATTGTGGTAATCGTGTGAAATTTGGTTGTGAGTTTGATTCCAGTTTCCTTTCATCATGGTTGAAGTGTCTTTGAGTAAAATTAAGCCCTAAGTTCCCTAATAATCCTGTACATCAGTGTGAGGATGTGTTTGAAGGAATGTGACTCACTGTAGCCTCTAATTAAAGAAGTTTAAATATTATATCTATGCAGAAAATGTGTTTTTTATGGTAAAGAACTGCATGAGCTGATGATAAGGACACTGGATTCTCACTTTTCCCATTTTGAAAATCTTTTGACATACAATAGAACTTTTTAAATAAAACCTGAACTTGAACAATTGTTGCTGTCTTTTTTGTGTTACAATGCAAACAACTCAGTTATTTACCTTTTTTGGTTTGTTGCAGAATCTGAACCAGCTGAAAGAAAAATACATTATTTAAATACCAACATCTAACAGCAGCTGCAAATTATGAACTCATAGAAAAGCATCTCACCACTCAAAGATGATGATGCCAGTGCAGAGCAATACAATCCCCAGGATCTTCAATATATTAAGGATCTGGAATTCAGATGCTTTATCATCTGCAACAATAAAATTGATATTATTTTGTTCATTTATTTATTTATTTATTGCTTGATGAGTCGAATTCTAGTTGTCTATTATAATAGAGCAAAATTTTTATAAAAATGACAAAATATGAATTCTGAAACATGATGCAAGACAAAGTATAATCCCAAACGATCATGACAAGATGCGTGTAAATTAATGCATCACCTTTTATATCAACAAGAATCACAAATGATTTTTGTTGACCCAGATCATTTGAAGCCTCACAGTAAAACTCTCCTCCCTCAGTGGCATTGAAGCTGTAAATCTGCCCCACAGACACATTAATGTCTCCATGTTCGCTGATCCTGAACCAGGTGAATGTGGGTGGAGGTTTGGCTCTGCTGGAGCAGCTCAGCTCCACCCAGCTACCTGCTGACACCAAACCTGATGGACTGATGGATGCTGAGGTGTCTTTAGGAGCATCTGAGGAAAATGAGACACATGAACTTTATTGATCAGAACCAGCTGAACCATGACCTGCTGACAGGATCACTTACATGAAACACTGAGAGTCACTTCTGTCTCTGCTGTCTTGTTTTCCTCCAATCACAGGATATCTGGCAGAACATCTGATGTTGTATCCATCATGTGTGTCTGACAGAGTGATGTTCTCCTGGATTTTAGTTGTAAAGGTTCCATCTGTGTTTTTCTCTGTGTGTCTGAGAGAGTCTTGTTGGAGATTCCAGGTGAGTTTCAGGAGGTGAGTTTGGACAGGGAGTGAAAGCTGAGCAGGTTACAGTGACAGACTGATGCTCCTTCAGGTCAGAGGTCACATTAATGCTGGGACTCCAAGGAGAATCTATATTTAAACATCAAAGCAACAATTTAGAAACAAAATAAATATTCAGACACGTTGGTATTTCTTAAATAAATAGCTAACAGTTTAAATGGTAAATAGCCTTTACTTCTATAGTACTTAATTTAGACTCTGAAGTCTCATTCACACACTGATGTAGTCACTGCTGCTCTGCACTACATTATCAGGAGTAGGCAAAGTGGGTGAAGTGTCTCTCCCAAGGACACATCTTACATGACTGCAAGTCCAACATTGATCGAGAAAACTTGTTCCACAATTAAGAAAAATTCTTCCAAGACAGAAGCAAAAACATCCTATCGCCATATTAAATCCAATTGCATTCACTCGTCTTTTCTAGTTACATTGATTTACAGTCATTGATTTACAGTTTTTTGTGTCAATCCTATAAAAGAAACTTGAACCTTCCAGCTTTACAAATTCACAAGGAAACCTGTAACGCTTTCCCTAACATATAAAAAAGACCACCATAGTATCACAACAGTATATTGACAAAAAAAAATGCTCTTACCTTTAACTGTTATTTGAAGAGGATCATCAATGGCCGTCGCTCTGAATGCCCCGTTCTCAACTCTGAAGAAGTATTTGTCTGTATATCTTGTTGTTAAATTGGGAAACAGAGTGGTGCAATTTTTCTCTTTCAGGTTTCCAGTTATATCCAGTGAATAGTTGTTAATTGACCCACTGCTGTGGAAAATAATGCCTGGACTGGACAAAAGATTTATACCACCTTTTATCCAAACTCCATAGATAGTTTTACTGCTGTTATATGTAGGATGTTCTGTTTCATAGGTACATGGGATTTGCAAGCAAGATCCAGTCAGAGCTTCCAAGATATTTGGTGTAGTGATGATGAGAGCTGGTGTTTGACCAGAACAGTAATCAGCACCTGCAAAGCAGACCGAAAATTAACATAATGTGGAGCAAAATCTGCATTCTGAGAAAATTTATAATCCATAAAACTCCAGTTCACTTCTACCACGTTCCAAGTTGAGCCTTTAAAGTTTAAACAATATCAAGATCAAATATTTCAGACGAGAAATTATTTTTGTTACATCTCAATGTGAAAGGAACAGAACAAACATCTGACCTGGAAGAAAGAAGAGACTCAGCAGCATGTTGACGATCAGCAGGTTCGCAGTCAGAAACGCCATCAGAGTCTGACGGTCTGTCATCTCTCAAACTGGAGAAGATTTCAGAAAAACCTGTTAGTTTTGAGGGGGTTTTTTATATCAAAGTCACTTTTGCATAAAGCTTTGGCAGTAAATTAAAACTGCCCTGTTAAATAAATAACAATAAACAGACAGTATTAGGAGTAGGTTCAAGTGGTCAAGTCTTCAGAGTAAAGACACACCACAAAGTCAAGTACAATTAATCGCACTGTGTTCAGTTAATATCACTGAACATAGTAATATTAACTCATACTAGTTAATATCAGTAATATTACCGATATTATGTTCAGTAATATCAAAAAGATTTTGGGAGGATTTTCTGTAAAAGTCACAAAAATTGCATAAGTTCTAAAGATATTCTTACCCAGTCAATACAGAGCCAAACCAATTAAGCAAAATCACTTCAAATGAAGAAATATGCAAATTTTTTCTGGCGAACAGAAAATCAAAAGAGCAACTTCTCTGTGTGAAAGCCAGCGTTGTGTGAAAGCCAGCAGCTGCTTTTCTTCCTCTTCAGTAAAAGAGGATGTCAGTACACAATTTGGTTCATTAGGGTGTGTTGGATTAAATATTTATTGTTACCTCACTGAAGCCCGTTAAGTGTTTATAGCAGTTTGAATATTAAGACAGGGATTAATTAGGTGGAGGATTCTTAGTTTCTGTTCACTATGAAATGTTTTTTGTTTTATACAATTATTTACAACTAAATCAATATTTCTTTCAAACATCCAATTTTGTTGTGTTTATTATCCTGCTTTAAAATAGCTATTTTTTTCTTGAATATTAATATTTTTACATTAGTTAATTGATTGGGATTCTAAGTTTGGCTTACTGATGTTAAGTTGGACGTGTGCAGTGTACAAAGATTGCTGACAAATTGATGTTAAAAAATAGAGCTTCCTGATAGTTGTGGCAAATATACCAACAATAACTTTCTTTCATGAAACATTGGAGTTACAAAACTCACTGGTGTCCATTGAGTTATGTAACGAAGGCAAAGATCATGTTTGGCTGTAAAGAAGAAATGTAAAACTTATGTAATTTTTACTTTAGACAAATAATGTCCATTCACTGGTCGATCAGTATTCATGGTTATCATTACAGCACAAAAACTGCAAAGAACACTCCAAGGAAGTCAAAAAAAAAATACTGAAAAGTAAAAGTCAGGGGATGGAGACAAAAAAAAAATCTCTTCGGCACTGGATTGTAATTAACTCAGTCATCAAGAAATGGAAACAAAGTGGTCAATGTGTAAATTAGATCAGGTTAATTACATCCTCACAAGGAGAAGGAGGCCAGTGAGAAAGGCTGATACCTGTCACTCAGAACGAGTTCGAAGCTTCAGTAGCTCAAAGTCTCCACATACATCAACTGTTGCCCAGGCTGAAAGCTTTATGTCAGAGTGGCGATGAGAAAACCACTGTTGGAGGAAACTCATATCAACGCTCCACTGGAGTTCGGTAAAAGGCACATGAGGTCAAGTAAAAACATAATGTTTGGGTTGATGACATTAAAATTGAACTTGTAGCAACACGTCTAAGGATGCTTGAGTACCATTTTTGTTCTTCTGCAACAGTAAAATAATTCACGCAGGTCCATCATATTTCCTGTCTCCATCTCAGCAACAACTGAGCTCCCAGATGCTTTGACGCTCTCATACAATAAGCAACAGCAATCCCTCATGTTGGTGCGAGGAGCCGATCAAGTTTGTGCTATACTTTCAGCACTGGATGCCTTTATTGAAGATATCAGAAAGGAAATGGGCCAAGAGGAACTTAAAAACATTTATCTAGCTTATCTCAACGACAGCTAATACGTGACCTCATGTCAACTCATATGACTAATTTTATATGTTTGTTGTTGTCCCATTTTTTTTTTTTTTTTTTTGATGATAATGATTTTGTTCAAATGATTTTACAAAATGATTTCTCCACTGACACAGAGCATGGAAAAGAAGAAGCCTTACAGTTTGTGTTCTACCTTTATTATTATTATTATTATTATTATTATTATTATTATTATTATTATTATTATTACTTGTAAAGTGAAGAAAGAACAATAAAAAGAGAAAGGCTTTTTGTCAATCCCTTTATTTGAATCAGGAGGATGCACATTTGGCTAAATCGTAATCCTTCCTTGCTTGGCAGAGAACAAAGTACATGACAAAAAAAAAAAAGAGTAGAACCGGGTATTACTTCCCTTTGCACTTCATCACAATCATTTTTACAGTGCACAATCTCGTGGGTACAGGTTGTTGTTTTAAAGAAGGAGGTTTAGATTTCCACTCACACATCTACTAAAAAAAAAACAAAGTAAGAAAGACAGTTTTTGATACATGCGTCCAAATAGCTGAGCTGACTTCAAGTCTGTGAGTTTGATGTTAGGAAAAGTCGCTGTGTGTGTGACTGATTAAATAATGTCAAAGTAACTTTCTTGATAAATTAAATACGAAAGTAAACGAGACGACAAACGTCTGTTCGGGTTTCTTTTGTAGGATCTCTTAGGATTTGTTTCATTTCCTGATCAAACTAAGTGTCTGTTGCGTTTCGTTCTGTTTGCGATTCACACCAAACTTCTTTTAGTCACCGTCACAAATCTGTTCCTCACTCTTATCATTTACTTCCTCAGAATAAATAATTATGGTTGTGAGATTTCATTTGCTTAATCTGGTTTGAGTTCCTTTTGTATTCGTAAAAGATAATTGGGAGAATAACTGCCTAGCACAGAAAGATTATCGTTGTAAAAATCTTTCTCAGCATGCCGCTAAATAAATACAATATCAAAATATTTAACAATTCAAACTTTTGTATAATTAAATGGTTCACTCTAAATATCGACGACTTATGTTGTTGTTGTTACCCAGCATTGTTAGCGTCAACATTATAATTACTTTGTTGTTTATATTACTGGAGTTATTATTAGTATTTTATTGAATGCATTGTATTAAGCAAGAATCTCACTTTTTTGTTTGTTTGTTTGCTTGGAGTAACTAAAACAGGCACTAAAATATCACATCACAATCTTGTGGCAGTTCACACATGAAGGGCGAGAAGCATGATCTCAGGACGGCATATAGGATGAAACTCAGTCTCGTTCAGACTCCAAAGGGGCACCAGATGAAATGCAGCGTTATCATTTTCCTTCCACTTGCTGCCTGGTGTTTCTGGAAAGCGCGGCGGCTTGTTTTCTGTCTGAAAGCGGCCTGCTCTTCCTGTTTTGCAGGCGGTGCAGTGCTCTCTGGCCGTGGACCGTGCCAATGAAAATGCTGAAGGAAACAGCGGCACCCAGCTGGAGCTCGGCAAGGCGAGGAACACAGATAAAAGGGGCAACGGTTGAAGCGGTCAGATACTGACAGCTTTCCTGTCTCTGCGTGCTGATGCCGTGTAGAAAGTATTTCCCTCCAAACCAGCCATATCTGATTGCATGGATACTCAAAGCAAAGGAATGTGGCCATATTGATACTTTTCTTAAGCGACACTACTGCCCCATGTTGCAAATTCTTGTCTTTTCTTTTATAATAGCAGATTAAAGAAACTCTGAATGTTCTAACTGGTCCCAGTTTGCAATCTACCTTCACATCAAATAAAAAAAAAAAAAGCTGTTTCAGAACACTGGATATTTACATTTGACAGATACAAATATTTAAGCAAAACAATAGTTTGGAAACATTTCCATACATTCTGCCATTTGAAAGTTTTTGTTTGCTTTAAGTCCAATGTTAGTCTCTCCCTTAGTTCATAAGATTTTATGTCTTTTCCATTGATTTAAAGAACAATGTTGCACTCATTATTTATGATGAGTCTGACTGACTGACTGACTGACTGACTGACTGACTGACTGACTGACTGACTGACTGACTGACTGACTGACTGACTGACTGACTGACTCACTGACTGACTGACTCAGTCCGTGATTTGTCAAGGAAAACTTGTGTTGTTGTCCAGACGTTATTCAGAGTAGCCTCAGTTATTCCAAACTTTTCAAATATGACTGCGGATGGGAACGTCTTGAAGTGATTTGCTGACTTTTGAAGTCCAGCAGTTCAGATCTGAATTAAAAGGTCCTTTGTTCTGTTTCTACCATTAAATCTTTTTCATGTTGCGATGGCATAGATTAAAATGCAAGCATTCGACGTCCTCTAAACTTGAACTCTCTGAAACATCTGAGAAAACAACAGTGGAGTTTGAACTTCCACTGAGAAAGAAATATAATGCAGATGACTTCAGCTGAGACTGACAACAGTTTGGCACAAACCGCCTGCTTTCTTTTTTTTTTTTTTTTTTACCCTTTAAGGATTCCTTTGTTTCATTCCAACGATGATCAGGAAAAAAGTTTTTCTTGGTGCAATAAAAAGAAAGGAGGCACTTTCCCTGTCTTTCTTCTGTCGGCTTATGAGAATTTCCAGCCTCTGCATGCTCACTTGTTTCTCTTTTGTGCAGCTTGATGGGTCCCTGTTACTAAATTACTAAGGGCCACACAACAAAAATGGCAGTAAAAAAAAAAAAGGCTGAACTTTCGAGTTAATAGCCCAACATAACAACGCCCCAGGGAGTCGGTGATGGTCCTGGGCGGATAGCTATGCTTGTGGTAATATGAATTCTTTGGCAATAGCTAACAGTCACCCATAGAGAGAGCGCTCAAATCTGTGGTATGAAATTGATATTTCTCTCGGGGGCTGTGCGCAATGGATGCTGAAGACTTTCTGACTGTGGCAGCTTTAGAAAAATGAGCACTGGGTGGCATATAAAAGCCATCGACTGAATGAAAAGTGTTGCATATTAAATATCCCACCTCTTGCTGTGAATGCCAGCCTTTCCCTGTTAGTGAACACTGAAGTTTTTCTTCTGACAAAACAAAATGTGCAACATAAAGTCAACTCTTCTCATTGACATCTGTTAAGCCTGAAATGCTGAAACAGCTGAACAGCACACGATGTTTTGCGCCTGCTTCGTTTCAACAGGCCGCTTCGCCAACGCAATGCATCGGCTCCGTTTTCCTCCTCC